AATTACCCAAGTTTTTTTTTCCATGCTCTTTCAAGTCTTTTAAAAAAAAAATCTAATTTCAACCAAAATTAAGAATAATTATTTCTATTTTATTATTATTTCTAGGCTTAGAATTAATAACAATTATTACATTTTAATAAACTTAACAAAAAAAATATCTCGTAAAGAATATCTCGTCTTTCAATATGGGTTAAATTTGTATTCAATTTTTAGTACTGTGTACGTTCATTCAAATCGACTCTATAAGATTTATAAACGCAACTTAGACAAAAAAAAAAAAAAAAAACTTTAAACGTTAACAAAATTAATATTTTAAAATGTAAAATCTATACAGTAAAAATTAAAATACAACCAACCCTAACACCCGAAGAAAGCAAAACTATAACATTAACCGTAAAAGTTCAATTCACTGACAATAATCATAAATTACCCTTTTCGAAAATTCTTAAAAAGAAAAACTTTAACGTTAACAAAATTAATATTTTAGAGTGTAAAATCTATACACTAAAAATTAAAATACAACAAATCCTAACAACCCGAAGAAAACAAAGCAATAATATTAACCGTGAAGATTCAGTTCATTGACAATAATTAGAAATTACCCTCTTCAAAAATTCTCATATTTCACTTCGATGCTCCTATCTTCGCTTCTTCTCTAATTGTTGGACTTTTTTAGATTAAAAAAAAAAAATCAATTTTTATTCATTTCACCGACTTAAAATTTTAATAATTTAAAATATTTTTAAATAAATTTATATTTAAATTAAATTTTTAAAAAATAATTTACCACTATGTAAAAATTAAGTACAAATCAAATCTTTTAATCACTAATTACATGATATTTTAAAAATAAAAATACACTAAATTTAATTAAAAAATAAATTATATTTAAATTTAAACTAATAAATAAAATAAATTATAATTTCTACATTAATTTTCAATATAAATTTCTCACGATGATTAATTTACAAGACACGGGAGAAATATTCTCTTCCCTTGAACTTTACGTGCTCGCAACATCATTATGAAAATTGTCTTCCCTTGTGCAATAACTCCGCCACTTGATCACTTCAGACTTTTGAAGTGCTTGATCCTGATCATCTTCTGTGCATAAGTAATACAATAATACGCGCATTTGAATTGTAGATCAGGATCATATTCGTTAACCCCGGGATGGAATGAAATGAAACTACAAGTAGAGAGATCCTGCGAACACAATGTCTCTCTTGATTTTTGAGACTGACTCTTCAAATTTCGCCTCGAGCTCTGTCTCTCCAATGGATTTTGCCGCTAGAATAAGCTGCTGAAGAACTTCCTCTAGTCTCCTAATTGCTCTGATTAAGCTGCCCTCAAAAACTGGTGTCATTTCCATGATCTCATAGAACTTGGATCCTTTTGCCCAAGCATACACAGCCTCCATGATATCTGGCCGAAATGAACTTACAAAACCCTCCACATCAATTTGGATCTGTGATACAAAATGAAAAAAAAAAAACATTCATTTGATGAAACTGAAATGAATTATGTCCAGAATTACGATACCAAATGCCAATCATAAATAATTTGAATGCTCGTGCTATTGCAGCATGATGCCAACATTTACAAAACAGAAATACTGTAATACAATTTGTAGAAATAAATAGATACGCATACAGATACAGGAAAGGGCATTTCTTATTTCTACTTCGTAATCTCTCAAAGGAGAATCATTCTTTGTCTTTCTAGCCGATGGATTTAAAAGATATCTATATCATTGATTTTAAAGCTAAGTAGGTACTTTCTTTCGTATCCAATGGTGAAGTGTTTTGAAGCAAAGCAGAGATAGCAGGCACCACAGGTAAAAATTAGTATGTTTCTCAACAAAAATAAAGCTGAACATATTTCAACTGTCAAAAAGGTGCTGTGTTTTATATGTTAAAGTAACATTTTTCTGCACGTATATCCTTCAATTTTTCTTCGTAACTCGTGGAGTCCAAGCCCATTTACCCATTTATTTTTTACACGCCAATTTTTTTTTAGATTAAAAGTATGAGAAATACATTGAAATAACAGCATCAAGGGAGTGTCACCCATTACAGAATAGTTGCAGCTTTGTTAGCATATCAACAATGTTCCAAAAATCATCCGTCCTATTTAAGTCATGGCCCAAAATCAAAAATCCAAAGTAATGAAACCAAAATCAAAGACACACACAAAAAGATTACCAATGTGCTAAGGTCTTTAGCATGTATGCCCTATTGGCTAGTCTCCATAGTAAAAATGGGGATATCCTGATAAAAAAGACAAAAACTAAGAAAAAAGGATTAAAGATACCTTGCATTCAAGCTGACTTTTGCATCTGACGCGCTGTATCTTGTATTGGTAAAAGCAGTCAGCTCTTCCCTGGTTTCAGCATCTGAAGCTTTCTGCCACACAAAACAAGAAAGGAGGAAACCATTTC